TGGGATTAAAGGCGTGCACCACCACCGCCTGGCTCAGGGATGTAGTTTCTTAGAGACTCCGAGTCATTTGTCAAAGCAAGGCTCTGCTCCCCATCCCTGCCACCACAAACCCCAATGGACGTGGGCTCATCACTTAGACAATGAGGCAACATGTTTGTGAGGATCACTAACCTCCTACTGCCTAGAGATAAGATACCATGGGCTGACCCAGAGGCCCCTAAGCTGGAACTGACCTTAATTCCCCCTGCCCCAAAGACTAGCTTTTCCTAAGAGCTTCCAAAAGAGGGAGGCAGCCAACAGTTCTACCCAGATATGATGCCTGTGAACCACATCAACAACCAGGATGGCACAAAAACCCTACAGGTGCAGGAGGGGCACACATACCTTGGCGGTGATCAACGAGTATCTAATTGGAATTAAGACTCACTCAATAAGAGGGATACCATGCCTAGTAATGGTTACCTAACCAGTGCTAGTGAATTCGCAGTTATTGGAGGAGAATCTACATCACGATTTTACTAACCCAGCACAGTCACTTAGGAACAATCTTTTGTCGTTATCCTCACAGTAAGTCTTCACTTCTCATCAAGGAAACTTCTCTGTGCAAAAGATGGAGATCACAGTACAGAAAGCCACAACCAAACCATATGGAGACATGGGGAGTACAGTGCGAATGGATGCATCTTTAAACCTTCCCACACCTAATGCTCAGGGAGCCCCGTGGAGGAGGCTGTGAAAAGATTGCAGGAGTCAGAGGGTTAAGGGCTTCGCTGTGAGACTGTCTTCTAGTAGCCTCAGAAGCTATACTTGTAAAGTCTCACCAAGATGACCACCCAACCGTGAGCTGAACAAGGAGGACACCAACAGATGTGACAAACTAAATGGGGACAAGCCCATGAGGTCTTGAGCCCACACGAAGAACTAAAGGCAGCTGAGTAAAGCTAAGAGCTGGAGAATAGTCCTCCCCAGGGAAGAGCACACCAATCGGTTCTCCAGTGCCAAATGGTCAGTCCTGAAAACATACAAAAAAGTAACACTATACAGACAAGGCAGGTTATATTTTGGAATACATATGTATATGCAAATACATATATAGATTCAATAACAATTGATGTAAAGAAGAGACCATGAATTTGAAGGAGAGCAGGAAGAGATGGAGAGTTTGGAAGGAGGAGAGAGAAAAGAAAAATACTATGATTAAAATACACTCTCAAAACTAAACAACAAAAAAATACTATGGGCTGTTGATACTATCACCTTACCTAGCCCCTTCATACTACCTAAGTAGCTTTAAAATGTCCTAAGAGGAGAGCCAGGAGGAAGGCAAGAAGGTGAGAAAATAAATATAAAGATAAAGAGAGATTGTCATAAAGCAGATTGTGTTATGGAGAGGTGCAAAACAGTGGTAGATTAAACATAATCAAGAGGAGACACAAAAGAGAAAATACTTGTCAAATGCCAATAATTACATGTGTAGGTAGTTTTTTATTTGTTTGTTTTGTTTTGTTTTTTCTCAATCCTATGCCCCAGGTGAACTCTCCAGGCTAAGTCCACCAACCAGGCTGAGTCAATGGATCGAAGCAACTAGCCTTGCCTGCCAGATGCCTGAAGCCAGGCTCCCTTAGAAAGCAGCAGCAGGTCTTTCTCCAGATCCTTCCTTTTGCATTTGCTAACAGGTGGCAAGGGACAGTACCCAGCTGGCTGCAAAGACATGGCCAGGGCAACAGTATGCCTTAAGAGTGCCAAGCCAGTACCAATGCCAAGATGAGGCCAGCATCTCTACTAACAGCACAGGACAATGACAGTGTCAAGAATGTATGACTTCAAAGTAGACTCCTGTACAAAATCAACTGAATACAGAGACCCGAACGTTGACTTATTATATTCATAAATGCTAGCATAAGCTTGGAAACCATTCTTCAATGGGGCTGTACCACCATCCTCAGCTTCCAGGTTATTCCTACTTAGCTCCTGCAAAGCCATATATGCAAACTCAGAACTCAGCATGTTTTCTGTAATATCAACATTAGCCCAAGACAGGACTGCAGTTAGCTTTTCCTAACGCCAAGCAAGAGTCCTACCTTGTTCACCCCTACCAAAGCCCAATGTTCCCAAGGACTATTCTCATTAAAACCCTGTGATGCTGACTTCAGCTGCTTACTGCTGTCGCCGTTATAACAGTTAAGCAGTTACAGCGAAGTCTTGATTAAATAGAATCCTGAGAGAATTCTGCCAGGCATCCACACAGCAAATGCTTACTTAGTAGCTACCATGGGTTCTACAGCCTCCTGTGGATTGAAGATGCTAAAAAAGAACAATACATCCCCCCTCCCCACACTCTCAAGTAGCTCTTGGCTCCTTAGGGCAGGCATACAAGCAAATCAACTCAAAGCAGTACACAAAATTCTACAGCTGGAGAAGACACAGGGGCAACTTGAGTCCAGCCAGATGTGAGTTTGGGAAAAGGTTTCTGGGAGTGGTGAAACCGGTTCTGAGCCACTGTGAAGGTAAACAGCTAGGAAAGACATAGGAAGCAAGTTGGGAGAGATGATTGATTTATACATTTCCTGTATTTTATCTTTAGGACAGAGGGGAGAAAGATACTCACTTCATGAGCCTGGTTAATTTACATGAGAAAGAGAACACACTAGACTGTGAGCCCATGATCAACTTAATTTCTTGCTCCCCTCCTGCCATTAGCCACAGGCTAGCACAGAATAATGGACACTTTAATGTCTGAATTTTAAACCCTGCAAAATCCTGAATCACCAATGAAGATTCAGCTGTGTTCCCTTGCCCGAGCCCCTCCTGAGCTTGAGGACGGATGTAAAATGCATCCATTTAGTAAGCTTGCCTGAGTAATAGGAGCTCAAACCCAGCCCAAGAGGAGTTCTCCTTTAAAGCATCAGATCCACATCAGAAGCCACAAATCCCAGCACCAACCCAACCCACCTCACATTTTCCTAACACTGTACCTCCTATCAGATTCTATTAGGTTCTGATCAGATCCTATTAGGATTTCCTACGTAAGCTAGAAAAACAGATTACCAACAGTCCTGTGTTACCAATGGCCATTGAGCACCCAGTGATGCTCAGTAAAGTTGGGAGTCAGAATTGGGATCTGAGGTTATAGGCTTGGCACTTACAAACCTGTTTCTCAGAGATAAGCAATTCTACAGTAGTAACACTGTAACAAAATAACATTGTAGCTACATAGGCTTTAGCTAGTGTCTCTGAAAACTGGGCAAGGCAAGGCTGCAGGTGCCCACAGTTGGAAAAGGTGGGAGGAGAAGAAAGAAGGAACGGCAAGCTTCAATGGAACCCCAGGTTCCAAAGCCATCATATACACACAGAACACATCTTTATGCAAAAGGACATGGGAGCTGCACTCAGATGTGTGCGTCCTTTTAAAAACTACACATACTCTATCACTTATTTCGCTTCAATTTGAACAAAGATGCTAGAGACCAAGGGACGAATGCAAGTTTAATCTAATTTCACCATGAAAGAACAACGAAGGTTAAGTTTTGGGTCAGATGCTTCCCAACACCTGCAGCTACACGGGGATCAAAGGTTTGGTCAACCGGAATCCAAGTCCCTGGCAAAGTGCTTCATCCTTCTTCCAGCTGCTTCCTGAGCTTTCAGGGATGCAGTCTTTTCAAGGCTTTTGTAACCTGGAAGAAACCTGTTGCACAAATCTGAGGCTCCGTGTGGACGCCCCCACCTGGTGGCCAAATCAGGGAAAGCGCTTCCAACCATAAAAGAGAGATGGGTACTTAGCAAACAGAAGACATTTCCCAACCTCTTCCCCTCTTTGTCAGTCAAGGGTCAACTGGAAGGAAACAGACTGCCTAAAATAGGAAGGGTCCAGGGTCAAGGTTATAGCCAATTTTCTGCCTAAACCCTGACAGCCATACAGCTCCTAAGCCAAAGCTAGGGTAGCAAGAAGCGCCCTGCCACATCCCAGATAGAACATCTGGGATAGACAGTCAGAATTCCCATCCTAGGTGGGGAATCCCTCAGCTAGGATCCTCTCTTCCTCCTTAAATACGGGTGTATTTTCCAGCCCCGAATCGGTACATCTGGAATTCCATTTTCCTTGTGGCCTGGCATTTCCCTCCTTTCTAGCATGGAGATTATTTCTAGAGGAGTCCCTGGGGACAAACTTCCCACCAGGACTCTCAGGTGCCCAATGCAGTGGTCCAGTCAAGCTGATAAGTGGGCAACCATTGAAGCTACGGAGATAGCAGAACCTAAACTATGGGATGTTGAACCCCGAAACCATAGGGATGTTCCAGCCTTAAACAGCCTCACCCCACCTCTGACTCTGCTAAACCTCAACCCCTTGGACTAAGGTTGGAAATCCCGCCCCTCTCCTATTCGATTCCTTTTCCTAACAGAACACAAAGACCTGCATTTTGGCCTGTTCAAGTCCCCAGTTAGAGCAAAACCGAGTCCTTTTTGACATCAGCCTTGAGCCCTAGGAAGGGCAGCACACTCATGAAACACGCGCGTACACACACATACACACACACACACCACTATGGGCAGTGTGCACACTACAGTCCTCAACTCTGGGATATGCCATCTACATTGAGTGACGATCGCAAAAGAAGCAAGCTAATAACCCCAAGAAGAAATGGTGCTTATAGCACCATTTTTGTCTTACTCAACTGCTACATTCATTAGAAAAATCATCTAATTCTTTTAAGCTTCCGTGTCAGCAACCCAGAAGGTACAACGCGCATCCGCGCGCACTCGCCAGTCCAAATCTCCAAGTCAGCTCGGGAAGCACGTTTGGTTCATTTAAACCCTGGTGTCCAAGGAGCTGCTCTCAGTCACACAGCCAAAAACCCTGCTGGTGCCCCGCGCCTACCCCCAACCCAAGCCAGAGAGTGCTTCTGAGTGGCCAAACCACAAACACTTCCTCAGCTCCAGCCCTGGCCCGAACCCCAAGGTGCACAACCGCCAAGGGGCGCCTCGAGCGGTCGGGTACTCACACGAGCGCATGGTAGAGCAGCGCCCAGCCCCGCGGTCTCTCCAGGGCGTCGTAGATCAAAGTTTGGATGCGCCTGTACTTGGCGTTGTTCCTCTTGACTGGGCGGCTCAGGGGGGTCTTGGCCAGGAGCCCGATGCCCTGCGGGGTCCTCCGCTGCCCCTCTTCGCGGCCACCGCCCTCCAGCAGCAGGGTCCCGTCTTTGTCGGCCCCGGCCCCTAGCGCCAAGGTGACTTGCTCCACGTCTCCTGGCGCCAGCCCGACTTTCCGCTCCTCGTCTCCAGCCACAGCCGCGTCCCCTCCGGCAGGGTTAGCTGCCCCGCCGCCTCCGCCGCCCCCTTCGCCGCCGCCGCCGGCGGCCGCCCCCGCCGCCCTGCGAGCCTTGAGCCCCATCTGCCTCGCCCCCACCGGGCGCTTCGCCTTCTCCGCTGCTGCTGTGGGAAGAAGGGGCACTTGGGGTGTGTGGACTAGGCGGCGGCGGAGGCTGCAAACCCGGGAACTCCAATGCCATGATCCGCGCGCCCCTCCCCGCCCACCCCCCCAAAAGCAGGCAAAGGCGGGCCTCCCGGGGGGTAGGGGAGGTCGGAAATGGAGTTAAGGGGTCACATCCCGAGCGGGTCCGCCGCGGGACCCCGAGGGGCGCGGGGAGCCGGGATCCGCCGGAAGCCCGGCGAGGGCACGGGAGGCTGGCGCGGTGGCACTAGGGCGCGCGGCGGCGGGAGCCTGGCACCGAAGCTCCCGGGAGGCGGCGGCGGCGACGGCACCCGGGCCGGCGAGCCCGAGACAGCATCGCAGTTTATTTACAAGCCCTGTGCCAGCCGCCCTCCCGCCCGCCCGCCTGGCACACGCGCCGCCGCCTCCTCCCTCCTCCCCGCTCCCGCCCGCGCCCAGCCCGCCGCTCCAGCCCTAGCCCCGCTGCAGCAGCGGTAGCAGCAGCAGAAGCTGGCGCGCCTGGGCGGAGCGCTCACCACCCGCAGCGCTCTCTGGTTCCCTCCCTCCTTCGCAGGGGTGGGGCTCCAACGTTCCCGCCCCAGGGTTGCGGGAGGCCCAGGCAGTGCCTCGCCTCTCCCCGCAGCCCCCTACCCAAGCTAACCTTGGGGACCCGCATCGCCCGAGCTGAGCCCTCTACAGTTTGCTTCTGCTGGGTCTTGAAGGCTGCGGCGTTGGCGCAGGAGCTCCCCAAACCAAGTGGGCGTTGGGATTTCCCCCTGGGCAAGAGAAGAAAATAAAAGGGGGGTGGGTAGAGACTGACTGCAGCTTTATGTTCAGCCTCCACCCTCCTCTACATCCTCTGCTTGTCTTTGGAGGTAAAATCCAAGTTGCTGGGTTAGGCAAGCAATGGCTCAGTGGTGGCAATGTTGGTGTTCAAGGCTCATGGAGGTTACTGCTTGGCAGTCCCTTGGGCGTGTAGATATGCAGAGAGCTGTGGAATGCGTGTAACACTGGGATCAGTACCCTAACTTCTGCTTGGTTCCTAACTCCTGCTGAAGGAGAGCCAGTCGTGCCCTCTGACTCCATTAGGCTCCTTCCGAGATATCAATGAACCTAAAGCAGTGACTTTGTCTTGTGACAGGATACTGCTCTCCGCCCAAGGTTTGAAGCCCTTGTGCTCATTAAACTTGAGTGACAGATAGAAGGCCAGAAGGAAAAGCAAATGTGAGTCCAATTATTTCTAGTGTGGAAACAGAGTCAGAGGAGGCAACGAGTCTGTGATTTGGAGAGTTGGTCCTGAAGACCCGCTGAGGAGGGGACATTTTAAGGTGAGACACAAGTGAGAGCAGCTATGACAGTGTCCAGAAGAGCCTTTTAGACAGCAGTTTGGAAGAGAAGCATTCCTGTACTGAGGACAGAGGAAACAATCTGGTCAGTCATCGGCAGCACTGGCAGAGGGCAAGCGCCCCATCATCCACCACAGGCAGGTTAGGGAAGGGCCCCTGCTGCCCTTGGGTACCTGATTCCTTACTGCCAAGTCTCCTCTCATGATTGACAGGTGTGGTGGGGAGGACAGTAGAGCTGTAAGGTGGGAAGTCAGTTTACAAGAAAAAAAAAAAAAAAGCAGGCACCTAAGAGAAGCTGAAGGGCCCAGGCACCTGTGGAATGGGGAAGAAGAGAGATCAGGGGAGGAGAGGAAGGGAGGAGTCTCCAGGAGATTATCTAGGATAAAAGTGTTAACTGTGTAGTATTGGCATAGCAATAAGCTGCTTGTTGCCTCAGAATAAATTTCCTAGAAGCTGACTTGTATGCGAATGAGAACGAGACAGAAAACTGGAAAACTCAAGACAGGCGGTGGTGGCACACGCCTTTAATCTTTAATCCCAGCACTCAGGGAGGCAGAGGCTGGTGGGATCTCTGTGAGTTCGAGGCCAGCCTGGTCTACAGAGCAAGTTCCAGGACAGCCAAGGCTGTTCAGAGAAATCCTGTCTAGAAAAAAAAAAAAAACAAAAAGAAAGAAAGAAAATTGGAAAAATTATGGCTATCCTCAATAGAGAAAGATACTTATTGGTTACCTGGGGGCAGGGAGGGGTGGAGGCTGAAGCAGCCTGTGTGACCTGAACTGAGTTCACAGCAGGGTAACCCTGCTCCATTATAAGTAGATTAATGATCCACAGTGAGCTGGAGCATAGTAACAAGTCAACACACATTCTATAGAGAAAGGACCAAAGGAATGGGGATTACCTGATTAGAAACATGCCCTCCCCAGACAGCAGCATGCTCCAGCCTACTATATTGGGCCCTGCCCAGCCATCCCAGCCAGACACATATGGCTGTGCTGTAGAGAGGGACTGAGTGTATCTCCCAGAGGTCTCTGTGTTCAGATTTGATTCCCACTGTGAAGTATTCAGAGAGTGGAAAATGATGTTCATCAACTTCTAGTGCTTTGGATTCAATCAGGATTAGAAAGGACGACAGGGTGGGGTCACCATAATTGCATCCTGGTGGCTTTGTAAGAAGAGAGGAACCAGAACACACATAACACACATCTTCCCTTTCCCTTGTTGTGAGCTGCCCAGTGGCAATACCGGTCTTACTGCTTAAGAATGCTATGCCAAGATCCAGGCGCTTGGCTATGAACAAGACCACAGCCCAAACAAACCTCTCCTCTTTGTAAGTCACCTAGTTTCATAGCCTTTCTGTCCCAGTGCAATGTCAAACACCTACAAAACAATCTTATTTAGAAGTATCTTTTTGAAAGTTGTTGCTTCTTCTCAATTCCTTCCTAATTTTTTTTTTTGTGTGTGTGTGTGTCGCCACCTAAAGCTATTGTATTTATCTTATCTCCTGGTGTTTGATTGTTATGGTTTGATTTTTGTGTGTCTTCCACGGACTCATGCACTGAATGCATGGTCCCCATTTGATGGCTGTATCTTAGGACTTCTGGAAATTTTAGGGGAAGGGAACACCTACCTGTAGGAAGTAAATCACTGGGGATGGCGTTCTTGGGCCTCCTGTCCATCACTCCTTCCTGTTCCTCTCTGTGCTTCCTGTCCTCCATGGGATCAGAAAATCTACCGCCACATGTTCCTGTTACAATGACATTCTGCCCAGGTCCAGGGAGTTTAGAAACTACAAACTGAACCCTCCAAATCAGAGAGTTGAATAACATCTTTCCTCCCATAGGCTCTTCATCAGATCTCTTGCTACAGTGATGAAAAAAAAAGTAACATGATCACCAAACAAAATCAAGACTTAAGTGTCCTCTCCCAAATCCTACAAATATTTATGCCCCATGATAGCCTCTTCATTCTCCAATAAAATGTAAAGAAGTGAGATTTATAAAGGAACCATGTCAAGCTGCCAGCACATATTCAACTTACATTTTTATGTGAAAATTTGAGGGTTTTGTTTTGATTAATTGGGAAAATCTTTGTGCTTAATAAGTCTTAGTAATTTCAAATTAAGACTGGTGTCTTCATGATGATGGCATTCAAAATGACCTGCGAGATAAACACCCAAGATGAACCTCAAGCCATACAGAAAAAAAAAAAAAGATGTTATATGTGGTCTCGATTGATTCACCTGGCAAGAGGGAGCTTCAGCTAAAGAATTACAGCCATCAAGTTGGCCTGCAGGGCTATTTACAGGTCCACTGTAAGTGGTGCCATCCCTATGCAGGTGAGCCTGTGGTGGATAAGAAAAATAGCTAAAGGTAAACCTAGGAGCAGGCAAGTAAGTATAACTCCTCCCATGGTTTCCACATCAAGGTCCTGCTTTGACTTCCCTCAATGATGTCCTGCAACCTGTAGTACGAAATAAACCCTTTCTTCCCCAACTTTGTTTTTGTCAGTATTTTAGCACAGCAATGGAAGCAAAACCAGGACAGAGACATGATACTTTATTACTCATCATTTAATAAGCGTTGTAATGTTCAAATAATGGTAGTTTGGACCTTCAGGTACATGAGGAGTTTTGGTGGAGACACAAAGACCATTTCCATGCCTCTCATAAAGGATAAAGCAAACTCCAATATCAAAGCCATGACTCTGATCCAATTAACCCAAGGGTAAAGGAACTGCCAGGTAATTGAGTCTGGAAAATTGACTTATTTCAATGGTTTTATAATCCAATGGAGAGAGCTATTCAGATTTCTAATAGAGGGTTTGGAAATGTCATAAAAAGCATGATGCACAGTAAGTACCCTTTGAGGACCATATAATCACAACACAAGGCCAACTCTAGCTAAAGGGAGTCACATGTCCTATATCCCTGAAGTCCCTGGGGTCGTGAGTTGCCAATGGGACCTTAAAGCGTCTACCCCCTTTCACATAGCCACATGTGGGGCCAAACTTTCAACATCTGAATCCTGTAAGTACAAAACATTCCCACCATCAAACTAGCTCATCATTTTTTCTAATCTTTATCTCATATATAGAAGTGGCATACAAGTGACAGAGAAGGTGCTTCCTTGAAATGAGCAGTAAGAGTGAGACCCAGGGGCTGACTCTGAGCCTCAGGCATTTCCTCCAGAAGCTTTGCTTTGGGTTGCAAATATCTGATGGGCTGGACGTGGTTACCATGACTATAATCAGATGAGCAGGGCAAAGGCTCATGTTCGTGGGCATACGTGATGGTGTTCCGGGCTGGTCTGTCACCTCCTTTCCAAAGAAGATCTTGTTATTGTTGCAGACCACTTTTAAATCTACTTTCATTGTTTGTTACACAAAAAATTGTAAATTAGTTCTGGTGGAAGTATAAAGCACAAATTGGGCCAAGCTGCAATGACCACAATTTTGTCGTCTTGTTATCCACAGATACTGTTAATATTCCAGTGGTGATAACTGCCAAGGCCACCACAGAATGTAAATGACAAAGAGCAACACTTTGCCTGGAGGCGGAGCCCGTCACCAAGGTGAATACACTGGACCTTGCTATCAATGGTAAGGATGGGAAAGAGCTACATTTCTCTGTAGAGAAGGGGTCATCTGCCCTCTAGTCTCCTGCTAATGCCCTATCCATGCCCTCAAGAATGTGCTTACCTAGTCACCACCCAGGAACATCACACAGGCCATGTCTCAACTGTGTTACTCCCCAAATGCTTGTTCTGTACCTGGGTATTAGTCAGCTCCGAGAGGAACTTGGGAAACACAGACTTCCTTACAGCCATGGAGTGCACCTCTTGCTTAAGGAAGACAAGGTCTGGTGGTGAAAATGAGTACTATCCTCCCTAAACTCACATAGTTGGACACTTTTCCCCCACATGGTGGCGCTATTTAGGGAGGTTATGGTACTGGTAGAATGTAGCACCTTATTTGAGGAAGTACATCCCTGGGGGAGGTCTTTGAGGGCTATAGCCTCACCCCACTTCCAGTCCCCTCCCTCCCTCCCTCCCTCCCTCCCCCCCCCCTCTTTCTCTCCTTCCTACATGTCTGCATGTGGATAAAAATTTGATCCTGCTTCCATGCCATGCCTTCCA